AGGAGGAAGAGAAGGAGAAGGAGAAGGAAAGAATGAGGAAGGAAGAGGAGGAGGAAGAGAAGGAAAGAATGAGGAAGGAAGAGGAGGAGGAAGAGAAGGAAAGAATGAGGAAGGAAGAGGAGGAGGAAGAGAAGAAGAAGGAGAAGGAAAGAATGAGGAAGGAGGAGGAGGAAGAGAAGGAGAAGGAAAGAATGAGGAAGGAAGAGGAGGAGGAGGAGAAGGAAAGAATGAGGAAGGAAGGAGGAGGAGGAAGAGAAGGAGAAGGAAAGAATGAGGAAGGAAGAGGAGGAGGAGGAGGAGGAGACAACTTCTGGGAGTTGAAGTCCACATAGCTTCAAGTTGTTGAGGTTGAGAAACACTGACGTAAGTTAAAGCAGTGTTTCTCAACCTTGTCAATTTTAAGGCATGTGGACTTCAACTCCCAGAATTCCACAGCCAGCATTGCTTAAAATTGTCACGGTTGAGAAACACTGAGTTAAAGATAATGAACCCTCTACTATGGTGCTTAGACAGTTTTTAGACCACTGAAGATCAGCAAAAGGACAAGTATTGTTTCAGTATTAATTAGGATTTAAACTAGTGTCAAAGGGAGTAAGGCTTCTTTGCAGCTTTTTCATCCAAAACAGAACAGGACTGCTGCAAATTACAATCAAAATATTAGTTTGAGATGAGATTTCAGACTTTAATAAGCAACTTTTTCATAGCCCAGATATCCTTTGCCATGCTCCTTGTGATATTCAAGGATAAGTGATTGCCCTTAGCTTACCAAGGAGATCCAGTTTACGTGGCATTCCTTCAAGGGGGGGGCAGTAAAACAAGCAGTTCTTTGGCAGATGAAAAGCTTTTGACACTCAAGGTAAGTCCAGATAGTAGGATACTGCCCTGTTTTGTTCTTATCAAGAGTTCAAAAGCCAAAAGCCGGTCTTAATTAGAGGGATCAGCTAGAATTGTCGTGAGAACCGCCAGCGATGTTGTTGCAACAACGAAAGAACGTATTGTTTGCCTCTCTATCTATGCTCTGCTTCCGTCTTTGTAAACAACAATGGGCCAAGTGCACCTAAATTTTACAAAAACAACTTAAAGTCTCCATCCCAGGGCTCTTCCCACCCACCCACCCATCTCTCTGAGAAACCAGGCAGCCCCAAACGGTATGTAAATAAAGTTCCACGCATAGTTTTAGCCTTTGATAATCAGAGTCAAGTGTGAAGGTTGAAAGTTGGGCAAAGCAAATAAGGAGCGACTGTTAATTAAAAAAATAAATACATTTTTTTAACTGCTCGCTTACCTTAGCCCTTAACGGTCTGTAATTGTAAATGGTGGCTTTTAATTCTATTTGCTCTCCCCGGACAACGGAGTATGGAAGATGGACGTTCACAAAGACCTCTTTAACGACTTCCACTTCCAGGGTGTCAGCCACACAAATACCTGCGTGTGCCAGAGGAAAGGAGAGGCAATAAATCATCTATATATATTTTTTTTTTGCTCCCAAGCCTATTTCAAGGCTAGCAGGAAGGAAATCTTAATCTAAACACAGGTCGTTTTCAATTTACAACCAGCCACTTGGTGACTGTTCGAAATTAGGAGGGATTCCCCCTCCCCAAAAGGCACATATAACAAATTTCCAAAGTTTTGCTAGCCCCCTCCTGGAGTTACACAACCACAGTTTGAGGGCTTGCCAATTGGCCAGCATTTACGACCGTTGGCAGCATCCCGTGTCAAAAACGGCCCAAAACTGGCGTCTGCTTCCGATGTTCAATAATATTTTTCCCAGGATGAAGAATGGGTTCGCTTAACAACTGATGTGTTCAGTTTACAACCACCACAACAAAAAAAAGTTCATAACGTCGGGTGAGTCGCACGGTGTTCATTTGATCACCGCCACCAAAAAAAGGGCGTATCATTGGATCAGTCACAGAGGGATCCACTTTGCGACTCTCATGACTTATCAGTGTGATGGGCAGGCTCCATTATGGCTATAAAT